CAGATTCCTTTAGATCCAGAGATCTCTTAGCAAGCAAGCCCCTTGAAGCTGCTTTGCTAATTGCTCTACAGTACTGAAAATTCCACGTTCCTGTCCCACTCCCTCTAACTTTTTCTGATGTGCATCTGTTAAAGCTTCTGTCCTACTCCTGTGTGCATATAGCTTCTAATACCTGGTGTATTGAACTCACTCCTTATTACATGCCACTCAGTAGGAGACAGTGTATAAGAAATTTATACAGCCATGTAATATTTGACAATTCCACTTAATGAATATTTCTGAAAAATTAATCTTCCAAGTTCCTGAGGTATGGTTCTAATAAGCACTTTCTAGGTAAAATGTGAAAATCTTTTGAAGACTGGGTGGAAAAAATCCTTTAATGTCTTGGACAGCAAATTGAGGATGACTCAGGGCCACCACCTGGTGTAGAAATCTCAGTGTCTACAAATCAGATTGTGGCAAGCATGTGCTTAAGTCTGTAGTAAATTCCAAAGTGTAGAGCATGTTTGGTACAGCAAATGACAGTTGGGCTTAAATGTGAGTTTGAAAATAACTATAAAATTGCCTTCCAGTCTACATAGTTGAAAGTCTTCATCAGAGTCCTAAAATGTAGTCTGGACAGAGATTCAATTAGAGTGGGCAATTTTGTCTTACAAATTGAATGGCAAGGGTTAATAAGACATGAGATTCCCCCCCCCTTGTAGAATAGGTGCTTTGTAAGACAAGCTGTTTCTGCAGTGATGTAGTTAGATCACCATCTAGAGGACATTTAAAAACACATGTTTTTAAGATTTTATTTCTATTCATTAAGGCTGTGTGAGCCAAACAGCACAAATTACTAATAATTGGTTAAGCACTTAAGTGGGAAATTAATTACATTTTCCACTCCACTGGCACATCTTTTGTTCAGTTTCAGCCAGTTGTGAGCTACAGAAGTATTCAGGATTACATGTGAAATTTTTTCACATCAGGTGGTCTCCTATTGTTATGATTCTATCCCTTTCATTCTCTTTTTAACTTTGAGCATAGACATACTTTTTTTAAATTCCCAAAAGCTTTCACACTCCTTGTTGCTTTAAGGTGTTGGTGCAAAGATCATCATAGTGTTTCTGCCTAAGAGCATATGGTGCTGCTTCTATGATTCTATGATTCTATGACACCTTTGTATGTCTGATGAGTGCTGTGATGTCACAATGTGCCCCAAGCAAGACTCTGGTGGTAGTTTAGTTCAGTTTCCATTAGCTGAAAAGGTGTGAGGAGCAAAAGTGTCTTGTGTTGGACAGGAAAACAGGATGGGGAAGAATTCAACCCTGATAGTTTTCCTGGGATTTGCCATCTATCTGATGGGTTTGTTCCCAGCCACTCACTGCTCTGTCGCCTCTGTTCCACGGAAAAGCCAGACCATGATTCACGCTGCCAAGAATGAACAGCAAGAGGGAAGCAGTCCAACAGCAGGTGATGGGGATGAGTTGAAGTGAGAGGATGAGAAAGAAGGGACTTGGAGAGTAATGAAACGCAGGAAAAGAGATAGGGTGTGGACATAGAAGCTGGTTTTGTAAAGAGAAAATCAGAAGAGGACTGAGAAGATATATGTCAAGGGGAAGTGGGGGTCAGATGATCCCTAAGAAACAGGGAGCCAGAAATGGAGAGGGATAGCAAGGCCAGCAGGGCAAAGGCCCAGTTCCCACAGCCCCAAGCAGGACAGGCCTAGGGATGGCAATCAGGGTCAGACAAAAGGTCACCAGGGAAGTCCGTGGTGTTGAGATAAGTTCAAGTTCAAGAAGGAATATCAGTCAGTGTCAGGATCAAATGTAGTGATGGTGACCAGGGTCAGACAGAGCCTAGTGACCACCCAGCCCTATACTTACACAGGGCAAAGGATGTGGGAGAAGCACAAGTTTAGGCTGGTCATGGCCATTAAAGCCTCTTAGATTACCCACGGCCCTGACTGCAGCCTCAGCAGGTTCCCCTCACACCCTACAGGGACCTGAAAGGAAAGGTTCTAGCCACCCCTGGGGAGCACCAGAGGCTGAGCAGCCAGGAGGGCAAGGGGCAGCACCCAACGCCAGGCTGGTCCCTCAGAAGGGATCACAGACTCTACTCAGTGGTATGCCCAGCTCCATGGTGTTCACTCCAGCACTCCAGAAAGCCCAAGTTAACTTTCAGGGAGCAGTGAGTTCCAGCTGCTTTCTAAGGGACAGGGAGCCAGCAGGCAAGTGTCTGCTCAGCAAGACACTAACCTGCAGCAGCCAGAGTCCAGTCCCTGCAGCCCCTGAGCCAGGCAAGCTCAGGCCTGGGGATGGTAGTTAGGTAGTTACTCATAGGGATAGGGAGTTATTCTGCCAAGAATATAGATCATCACACACTGCCTTATTCATGAGACAGTCTCAAAGTCAGGCCAGGAATAACAGTCAGAAATCAGTGGCCCAGATCAGATCTAACAAAAGAAAGCTGGGTCAGGCATCCCATGCCTGCTAGGCAAGTCCACAGTGATAACCCATATTCAAGGTCAAGCCAGGAAGGCAATTTGTAGGTCAAGATCCAGAATAACAGGGTCCATGGTCAGGCATAGTTGTCATGGAGGTAGAGATGGAGACAGGTATACTTGCAACAGATCACAGAGAGCTGAGGCCCAGGCTCGAGCTTAAATGAAGCTCCTGAACACATAGGATTTGGGTAAAGGCTTCAGTTGAGGCTGTTAAGGGCCACTACAGCCTATTACCACAGGCATGTCTCTGAATAGATGAAAGATGTTTTTGGGGTGGCTTTTATAATGGAAAAGTACAGGAAAGGAGAAAAGGAAGAAGATGCAAAGGAAGGAGAGCCAGGAGAAAGCGGTTTCTGAAATAAGAGATTTCAAAATCAGAGGAATAGAGACAAGAAAAGGGCAAGAGAAGTAGCGAGTGGAAAGTGGTATGAATGCAAAGCTGCTTAGGGTGAAGGAGGAGACGGACACACACTAAGGGTGATATGGATTTGGAAGTTAAGAAAGCAGGGAGAGAAAAGCAGGAGGGAAGCAGAGGTATAAAGGATCCGAGTATGAAAGAACAGAACAAGAAGAAAGCTTATGGTGTCCCCTTTTCCCCCTCAGCTGCAGACTGGGAAGAAATGGAGGAGATTTTTGTGGCCTCATCAACAGGGGAAGGAATGGAAGTGATCGATATGGTGCAGCCTGAGGACTATGGGACAGTGAGCAATTCAGCTGTGAAGGATCTGCAGTTGGATCTGATGCTTTTCCTGAAGATTGGCAGCATTGTTCTTTTTTTGTTCTGCATAACATAAAGCATGGAATAATTTCTGTGGTCATGGATCACAACAATTTGAACATCTACCCATGTTTCATGATCTACAGAACAATACGGTTTCTGTTCACCGACCACATCTCAGGGAACTTGCAACACCGAAGACAAGGTTAGGGACCTTGTGCACATATTGGAAGCATTTTCCTTTTTCCTTGAGAAACACAATAAATTCTCAGTCCAAGACTCATGTAGTACTTTTTTCTAAGCCAGACTTTGCTTCTTTCACTTCACGTATGATCTTTGCGTAAAAACATCATAGTTAGTAATAAGAATTGATCCAACTCACCAGCTTCAGGGCTGACCCTGTCTTTGAAATAGAATATTCATAAACTCATTGTATACTCTAAGAAAAAAAAAAGCAAGTGTATCACAGGCAACTGTGACCTGTGACTTCCCCATACAATTAACAAGATAGATACAAGTAAAGCTAAAGGTTTCTGAAAATGCAGACTGTTAATAGATTTTGTCTTTTCTAAACATTATAAACACAGAAGCCAAGTAGTCTCAGAACACTGAAATAACATCTATAATGCACTCAAGCTCTTCTACAATCTTAATTGCTATTAGCATCTGAAAGAAAGACAGTCTGGTCTGGACATGCTGTTAGGACAAAATCAGTTGAATGAGTGAAGGAAGAGTATACATGATTTAAATGGTAACAACAATTTATTAATATTTTAGTTAATGAAAACAAATTCTCTGAACAGTCTGTTCTTGGATAACATTTTGCTGCATTGGTCAGCACTTAGGAAGGACTAACACAGTTATTTTTATAATGCTTATAATGCTTATAATAAAATATGTTTCCATTTGCCATCATGTATTCCACAAACAATCCTCAGGCAGACAATATAATAAAAATGTTCTCATAATCAAGAACAGTTTGAAGAGTATGCAAAAGGTAGTATTATTTTGTATACTTATTAACTTCAGTAAATTTTAGAACATCCATAGAAATTTTCTTATTATGAGAAACTGAAATGGATTTAATTACTTGAGAATGTAATTTAGGCACTTCTGCTACCCCAAAACATGTTGCTCCTTATTCTGTTTTTCCTCTGAAGTAAATTAATGACCAAAATTCCATTTTGAGTAGAAAGTAAAACCTTACACAGCTCTGCTTCTCTGTTTGGATGGTAAATATTTACAAATGTAGGAATGAGAGAAATTTTAGGGATGAGAGAACATTTAGGGATGAGAGAACCAGGTTCATGATCCAGACGAGTTCTTGGAATTCCAACTGTTCCATCTTAGAGACTTCTAGAAACTCTTGTGACTGTTCCATACTCTACTCTCAACCATATCCTCGACCCTAGAGACTAAAAAGAGTCTTGTTGGAAAAGAAAGCTGAAAGAGATTCTGCTCTCAGCACCCAATTCCCCTCCCATCAATGGAGATAAGCCTTCCTCTTTCCTCTTTTGCATTTTATGAGTTTTGCTGATGAAACAAAAGCAGAATAGAGAAGGCCTTCAGTAACCTTCATTATTAAGTGACTTAACTTTCATACTAGAAACTGTAGCCACTGAGCCTTTCCTAGTAGCCGCCTCCATTTACTAGCAAAAGGATAAGATTCTTCCCTCTCTTTGTGAGATTTGCACAGTAACCCATAGGATTTTCCTAAAAGCCATTATTACATGAACAAGTCTTAGAGCTCCAGCTTACTGACCTGTCCATTCATCACTGGTGTGAGGCTGCTGGAGTAGACAGGAAAATGTGCTGAACAGAGGGACTAATAATGTAACAGTCTCTCTCTTTACAACTCCTCAGAAAGTTGCTGCTTACTAGAGACTGACTAGTAACCTTGCTGCTTTGGAACTTGTTAAACTCCAGAGTTTTCACATCTGAGGCAGAGTACTGAGAGCCTTGGAGGAGATGCTCTTCACTTACAAGCTCAGTTTAAGAATTTCCCTACCATCAACTGCTGAGGAAAGGATAACAAGAAAAGGGAGGTGCAGGAGTGAATAAGAGCATCATGTCACCCTGGAGGCCCTGAGAAGATGGTCACACTTTCATGGGCCAGGCCTTTCTCTCCCTAGGGTCATCACTCTCTTCCTCCTTTTCCATCCAGATTACCAGATGCGGCATTTGTTGTCTGGGTTCATTTGGGATCCACTGGAACAGTGGAAGTGCTTGGAAAAGTCCTGGCTATTGCTGACAGGCCCACAGACACGAAGTGGCAGGGGACTATGTGGATCTGTGTTTAGGGAAGACTGTAGTTTCTCTGGATCCTGATGTCCACACATTGCCTGAAAAAAAGCAGACAGAAAAGTCAGTTTTGCTGAAAGCTGTCATGTGAACAAGACTAAAGTCTCCTCATGCCTCTGTGCACCTCTCTGAGGTTGCTGGTATAAACAAGGGAGCATGCATGCATGGCTGCCAACAATGTTCAGATCTTTGCTTTCACCACTGCAATTTCTGACTCTTTTCCCTTTCCCTAAACTTCTCTGTCCCTATTTCCCTGCCTGACAAGGCATTTGCAATTTCTCTATTCTACATAGACAGCATGCATGGAATTTAGGCCACCTTGGACTTTAGGCTGATGCAACCTTGGACTGCATCTAAAATAGTGGTATAGATGTTGTCTCAGTGTCTAGATTCAGCTTCTTAAGCAAAAGCAGGGAGTGCTAATCAAGAAAGGAAAGCACTTACACAGAATTCCATTACTACTTGAGAGACTCAGAGGAGGGTTATGTGACTTTACTGGTGTTAAACTGGCAACACAAGTCTTCATTCCCTGATAAAAATCTCTCTTTATTCTCTGAATAAAGACTGATTTCAGTCTTTATTCAGTCTTTATTCAACAACAAATGATGCAGTAGCTGTGGATAGCCTCTGAAATGCGAATCTTGCCACCAAGATCCAATAATCTGCTTTTTTACACACTGCTCTGACCTAATCTTAATACATTCACAAAACATTTCCCATTGCACAGTTACAGTAACTTACAAGGACGTGACTTTTCTGAGCACAGAAATCCAACAATCTATCATGAGGAACTTGATACACAGCTATGCACAACTGCACAACTTTGCAGAAATCCTAAAATCAGGATCCCACAGAAATCTCAAACTAAGTGTGTTAGGTACTTCTAGTTATTTATCTCTAAATAACATTTGAATCTTTTTATCACTACCAGTCACTCAGAATGATATAACATCTAGCTATTCACCATGACAGAGAGGCAAACGAAGAAAGGAATGGACAGGTACATGACTTTTACAGTGAGGCTTCTCTTTCCATGTGTAAGATTGCTCACAACAGCAAAAAAAAGGTACACAGAAGCTGGCAATGAAGCATGCTTTTCCTGACACAGCTTGTCTGCTACGAATTAATTTGGGTAGATTTCAGAGCTTTATAAAAGATACATTTGCAGACAAGCCTTTTGTTAGTTTTGAGACCCGTAACAGGTTAGGAGCTTCTAAATAAGATTCGAGTCTCACAGAATCATCACCTGTTCTGTGAAGAGGGGGAAAACTGTCTGAATATTAAGAATGACAAACTGAAATAATATGGAAGAAATAGAGAATGAGACAGACACATGACCACCCCTGAATTCATTACATGAGCAAAACTGAGGTAGAAAAGTTGATCATGTGAAAGTCCAATTGTAGGTAAATCCTCTTCTTTGTGCTTTTTCAGCCAGTTCTTATAGGCCTGTGGAGAAAAAAAAATAATCCTCTTTCAGACAGGATCCCAAGCACGTCTCTTCTGTCAATGAAATATATCAATTTAATATATATTTAATAAGTTAGCAAGTTTGTATCTCTCTTCTCACTCTGAAACTCTCTGCTGCTGGCCTTGTCCCTAATAACTCTAAGGCAGGAGAGTAACAACATAATTCCTTTCCTTCCCGTTTCAGATACAACTAAATACATTGCCGTAAGAGAAGATGTGATAACTACTATGGAAGAATGAAAATTACTTTCAAAGCAAGTCACAAATATCTGTGTATAAATTAAAAGACTTTCTACCTCTCAACATTCTTCATGCAAGAATGAAACAAGTCCCATCTTAGACCTAGGGATCTCACAGCACCCTCAGTAACTAAACTGCTGAAGTACTGCATGAGGAAAGAAAAAATTCTCTCCAGAATATTGCTGAAAACATCATTATGGAGTCAGTTTATCATGACATAGAATTCTATTTCATGTCTCAGCTTACTTCCTCAAGTATAACATATAAATAATAGCATGCTTTTGTATGCATGACATAAATGGGGAAGTAAAGACAGTGAAGAGGACAAGTTGTCTTACATGGAAACAGTGAGGTTATCAGCAAAGATTTGTGAGGAAACTATGTCTGGAATAAGACAGTTCATGCTTCACTGGCACAGGTATGCAAGAAATCTGGAACTGGAGCAGCATGTAGGAGCTGATAGCAGAGCTCATAGCAGCTGAGCTGTCTTGTGACATGACAGCTGAATTGTGTGGTAAAACTATGACATCACAGAAGTGAGTAAACTACAATACCTGGTAAGCGATGGCAAGCCCTCCAGTGTCAGCTGTATTCTCCAACAGTGTAAAAGTACCACTGACATTAAAGCTGTAACTTTCATACTGTTCAACCAAGCAGTCTATAGATTTTTGGAGTGCACTCCTGTTGCATGCAGGGCAGCCTTCAGGCAACACTGTTGGAAGAAAAAATCCTAGAAGTAAAGCTATTTATGGTATACACCTGTGTTCCTCACATTAATCACTGATTCTTCTTAGTAGTCAGCATGGACTGGGTTGGGTTTTCCTTACCTTCAATTACATTAATAATATATGTATACATTGATACAGGGACCAGGAATTCTGATCCCCTAAGGGAAATCACTAGTGGGACCAAGAAGAGTAAACAAAGACACCAGAGCAGTACCCACCATAACCATAGAATGAGTGAAGAATTTCATGTGCCATGAAGACCCCAATGGCTCCAAAGTTCACAGCGCTGAAACATAAAGACACAAAGAGTGCTTTTGGAAAGAAAACAGGGTAGATGAGCACCCTTTATAGCCACTGAACACAACTGTAGCTCCCTAGGAGCATTCTACTCCAAGAGTACATAGAAACACATTCTATTTATTGTTTCCCAGATGTGTAAAAATGCAAATACAAGTGTAAATTATCCTAACAAAGCTTAAAATTGTTCTATGGACTCAAAGTATTTGCAGCTAATAAGCCATCATAATAATGAAGTGTCTATGAATGAAATTCCACCTTTATTAACTATAATGACATGCACTGATGTAGAAATACATACTTATTTACCCCTTTCTGTCTGAACTGCTGCACAAACAGCAACTGTAATGGTAACCATACAAAAGCAGGATGTTTGGAAAAGCAGTATGGCAACAGTTGTCTAGTGACACATGATCCATAAAACTGGCAAGGCAAATTGAAGTCATGAAGGTTTGACTACAATTACTCTGGTCTAGCATATGCAATCTTGCTACAAGAAAGAGGTTGGACTAGAGACCTTCAGTACGTCTTTCCAAATGGAATTTCTATGATTCTATGCAAAGAATTTACAAATAGTCACACAAGGAAGAGTACACTCAAAATGCATTTCTGTCACATGAAATTATGGGCTCATTCTTTCTTCTCATGCACTGATAAACACTGCTGAGGCATGAAATTATTGTACTAGATCATTATTACATTACTGAGAACTCAGTAGAAAGTGACAAGAACAGAACAGTTCATCTTCTCTTAGAACTGCTCTTTCAGAAGCTCTGCAGCTGATAACTTATAAATGTTGCCCAGAGAAGTTGTAGATGTCCCATCCCCGGAAGTGTCCAAGGTCAAGTTGAGTGGAGCTCTGAGCAACATGGCCTATGGCAGGGAGGTTGGAACTCGATGTTCTTTAAAGGTTCCTTCCAACCCAAACCTTTCTATGATTCTGTGATACTATAACAACTGTATTGCTTTGCTGACTTCTTATTTCAAAAATTATCCTCACAGTCTTCTGAACTGGCGTTTGCCAGTAAAGTTTAAACTCTGGAGCATCATCTGAGAAAATGCTATTGTGCCAACACACCAAAAGCTGATACAGTTTGACTTATCAGTCTACTTAACTGAGGTGACAGTGAGAAAAATGCATTTTACTAACACTGAGAGGAATAAGAAGCTGTAGACACGTTTTCAGAGAGGAAGAGTACAGTAAGTGACAGCCCATACCAGTATGGAAAAATATTTATTTTCTATTATTCTTTTGAGCTGTCCTTTTCTTCATACTGTAATTAATTTGTTAAATACTGCAAGCACTATAAGATAACCATGGAGAATATAATTACTTTTAACTGAGAAATGTTTCTTTCAAACTTCAGCCATTTGCCACAATGTGAGCTTGTCTTTCAGTACAATGGTATTAGGAGACGTACCCATGCCATTGTGAGACAAAAAAGGACATTGAATGGTATGTTTACAGTCAACTCTTTTAAGTGCTTTTATTATCAGAAAAAAGATTGCTTAAGAGATGTGTTCCATATGATGAAAGAACCCAACTGGGTTGGATTTCTATGGGTTAGATTTCTATGGGTTAGATCTCAGGAATTCTTGGAATCTAGAAAATGAGAAGCAAAGGTGAAATGAAATGTCTTCTTTGCAGTTAACCTACATGTGACTTCTGCCTTTTTGCTCTGGAGTAATACACTTCGCTTAGTTTAGTTTCACCTAGATTCTGATTTTGCTCCAGCAGAGTCAATGATCACTTTCTTTCAGAATTCATAAGGCAGTATCCATCTAGCTTTAGAAAAATCTGGTTTTCCTCTCTTTACTGTGTCTTTCTGGGATGCAGTAAGAAAAAGAGGTTAAAGATAGACCCATTAAGATTCTTTCTGGAAGTATGATGCAGCCCAGGGACTACATTCAGTTTCCACATTTGCAACCACTCCATACCTGGGAAACTGCAGGTGGAAAAAAGGGCTGCGGAACATTCCAGCAGGAAAGACCACCATGTGGTGCCTTATTGAATAGTATGAATGCACACTCCAGGGGTACACGTGCCAGCTAAAAGGGAAAAAAAAGAATGTATTAAATCCTTATCTCATACCTTGCTCGTTTCCTCCACTGAGCTAGCAAAATTAACCTGCTCAGTTCAGCTGTTAGTACAGCAGTAGCAAATGATGAAATTCACATTCTCTAGAGTTAGAGGTGTTTAAAATAAATCTTCACGTGTTTACAGACTGCCAGAGCTTGGCTTTCATACGCATGAAGGCATTCTTCCTCACAGCTTCCCTGTCATGTAAGTCAAGATTGGTATGAAGTCCTGCACAGAATACCCTTCAGGAGGTGTAAGGCCCTAAGCATGCTTGTCAAAGCTGCCTTCTAAAGCAGCCTATATACTGCCTTTGAGGTGACTCTGCCAGCATTCATGATACCATGGTGGTTTGCTGTTTGCTTTGCTATGAAGTCCAGAAGAACCAGCTATCCCTGTTACTTAAGAGTACATGGGCAAAAAAAAAAAGTGAGGGCGTTTTTAAGAGTCTGGGGCACTCACCACAATGGTGGGGTATTTTGGCAGCATGTGATCAGGCTGAATGCAAGACAGGCTGCCAGATTAAAGGCTTTTTAAAGCAGGATGAAGTAATGCAGACTCACAGCAACATTCAGAACTGGTGAAACCACATTTAGAAGTACTGTGTCTGATTCTGCCCACTGCCCCCCACTTAACCTCCCTCTCTTTCCACAGTGAGAGATATAAACATACAGTTGGTCACAGTTCTGAGTGACCTGCTCTAGCTGATTCTGCTTTGAGCAGGAGGATTGGACTGAGGTGATCTCCACAGGTCCCTTCCAACCACAGTTAGTTCACAAGTGTGTGATTCTGTTACAATTTTCAATCACTATCTGACTTACTTGTTCTGTGAGTGATGCTGAAGGAGTTTCAGGTAGAAATTTTCCCTCAGTACTTTCAAGCAAGCCACCACATTGAGGAAAAATGTGTCTTCATTTATCTCCAGCTGAGGAAAGAGACAGGTAATGTGACTGTCATAAGGCACATGCATGGAATGAATTGAACGGTATGAGAAAAAGAAAAGACCCACAGGTCAAAAAAAAAGGTTAATCAAAAGAGAAATCAATAGGATACTTGTAGATTTTTTTTTCTCAGAGTTCTTAAGACCTTCAATTTAAGATATGACAGGAATGTTATCTCCAGGCCTGTCCCAACACACAAACAGATCAAAACAGACTTCTATCAGGCCAGCCACTCTAAATAGGACCTAGCACAGGCAACAATATAGAAGCAACAGATGAAGGTTCTCTGGGCCCATATATTCCCAGAAAATGAGCAGTAGGAAATGTACATGTTCCAGAGGTCATTGCTTCTTTTATAAGCAGGCAAGAGAGCAGTGATACATGTAAACTGCCAATAAATAGGCAGGCATGTTTACATTATATCGCTCACATTCTGGTATTCCAGGTTCACTTTGGCAGTCTGGAGTATGTGAGCTGGATAGCCAATCTCCACTTGTAGTTTGGAAACCTAAAATAATAAACAAAATAATACAAGAAAAAAAATTGACAAAAAGAAACATGATCAATCAAAGGCTTTACATTCTGCAAGTCCTTTTAAATGCTATTTCTAAAAAATATAAACATGATCTGTGAATCAGCCCTTCAAAATGACAGCTAATCTGTTTCAACAGGACATCTGTTACTCTGTTTTCTTAACTGTACAACCTGGGGCCTATTGTTGCTCTATTCTTTTACTTTATAGCATTTCCTTCTGCCATTCAGCTTTATAGTTTTTAGCCTCTCTAGGTGTATAAAACTGAATTGTATCCCAATACAATTAACTCAGAGTATCCATGGACAAACAAAAACTGAGCCTTTCTATGCCTACCCATCAGCGTGTGTACATATGTGTGATGGCACTTATAAAACCACCTGCAATTTTCAGTATGTATAAGATATCTATATAAGATTGTGTGCCTGTAGAAGTAGGTAGGAATACATGAAGGTGCAGGACTCTTCCATTCCTTCTCAAAAGGCCTCAAGGAAAAGAAGAACTCAGTAACTTCTGCCTTCTGTACGCACCAAGACCTTAGCATTTTGGCGAGTCTGTTCATCCATCCACTCCAACTGATCCAGTCGGCCATAGACAGCATCTTGGATCTCAGAGAACATCTGCTCAGCCTGCCATGGAAAAAAGAAGGCTTGGTCACAACTGAAAAAAACAATCCTTAGGCTCACCTTCCCACATTCCAGCACAGAATTATTGGGGGAAATAATCTTTTGTGATGAAAGAGGAGATTTCCATTTCTACAATGATTTAGGCTTAAGTTATTTGGCATCCAGTTTTTCCTCCCAGGGTTCACTGTTCTCTCCCACACACCTTTTCATCTTGCCTCTCACAGTAACTAAGAGGGAGACAATTCCTTTTCATTCAATCCCTTTTGGGACAGGAATGGACCAAATAATTTTCCCCTTTTTTGAATAAAATGTAAATTCAGTATCACAAGTATTTCATGCTGGTATCTCCCTTTCTAAAGTTATGGCAATCTGAGTCTCTTCTGAAAATTGTTCTATTCATTCAGTGTGATGCTTCACTACACATAGTCTTAGTTTTCCCATTAACTTTTCTTGGTGTTATTTACTCTTATCACTTTACAACTGCAAAGTCTGTAAAACCTGGTGCCTACACTAACTTTCCTCAAAAGAAAAAGGAACTCTGACTGTCAAAGGGAAAAAAAAGGAACATTTTCCACACTGTAGGCAGGTGTTCCTTTTACTCCAGATCCACTCAGAATATTTTGACATTGATCTGTTTCTGTATAACCAGTCATATGGTGGCTTAATGGCTTTGCATTGAAACTCTTATTGAAATATATCAGATTGGTGATGAATACTGTTAATACTGTTATTCCAGGGAGCACATTTAAGGTTGCATGCATTTGTAGGGCTGTCATAGCTATTGGTGCTGCCCATATGACTTTGCTAACAGCTGAGACAGTTGCATATTAACACCGTTTACTCTAGCAATGACAGCAATGTCTTATTCTTACATATTTCACTCCTAAAATAGAAGGGAAAGTGTGTAATTACACGAATATGTAAAAAGGTATAAAACCTATACATGATTTTACTGTCTTGATGTGGTCTTAAGCTGGGATGTTAAAAGAAGAAAGAGATGAAACCAAGCTCTGCTTGGGGGTTAGGAGGATGAATACCTACAAGCTTCTTGGTCTGCTGAGGGAAAATTTCTTGCACAATCATCTTCCCTAGAACTGGCTCAAAGAAAGTGGTGGTATCCGTCAAGCACTTCCTCCAGCGCTCAGCTGGGAGCTGTAAGAATAGAGAAAGAAATAGAGACACATGAGGATGATGACAAAGAATTAGGAAGTCAATAAAAAGATATGTACATGTGCAGTAGCATATACCATGATGTCTAAAAATGACAGCAGTCATTAAGTAATCTAGTTCTGTCTAAGCTACCTCAGTAAACTTTGATCAAGTAAAACATTGATTTATTTATGATTTACTCCACTTACTTTCACACTAGATGAAGACTCATATACTGGATGAGAAAAATGCATAGAAGAAAGGTGACCATCTATGTTGTTCCCTACTCCATGATACAGTGCACTTAGCTCTCTAAAGTTTTGTGCATCACACATTTCTCTGAGAAAAAGCATTTAATAGCTTAGTGAGAGCAATTTTCCTCCCCAAATCAAAGAAACTCCATCCACACAAGGCATCAAGAGAAAGTTCATGACATGGCCTAGAGTGTTCAGCTACTGGGGAGATTGAAGAAGGTGATTAAAGGCTAACTCACCATTCTAGATCCCATTTTTCCATAAAGAATCTTATCTAGCTCCAGCCGTGCATCTTGGAATCGACTGTCAAGGGCTGGGGAGAGATTCCCAACCAGACAAACAATCATATAAATGTGAGGGACCCTGTAGGAAAATGACATTTAGAAAGACTGAAGATTGGAGGCTGGTCACCACAAACACAGAGGTGAGGCAAGTGTCAGAGGAATAACTTGATGTGGAAGAGGAACACTAGGAACCTGAACACTGACAACAAAGTACTCCAAATGGGCTACACCTGGGGCTATCAAAGGAGTATGATTTCACGTGAGTCAACCAAAGAAACTCCTCAGAACACTGAAGATTCGAGGGGTATTTGCCTGCTAGGGCATAGGATTCTTTATGGGAAGTAGGAGAAAGTTCATTTTTAGGATTGGGTGAAACTTATCACAGAATATTTTGAGAGGTCTGGGGGTATCTGTGAGATTTATTATGGTATGTTTATAGAATGGACCAAAGGCAGGGAAA